TTCTAATTTGTATAAGAAGTGTCTTACTCTCACCAAGGCTGTATTCATTATACATGTACGGTATACTAAAACAGGTTTATTACAAAAAGATTGCGATTTTAAAGTAATAGTTTGTATTTTAATAGATTTTAAAATATTATTTATTCTTGTGTTGCGGGCGAGGCAGTGGCGCAGTAGGTAGTGCCGTCGCCTCACAGCAAGAAGGTCGCTGGGTCGCTGGTTCGAGCCTCGGCTCAGTTGGCGTTTCTGGGTGGAGTTTGCATGTTCTCCCTGCCTTCGCGTGGGTTTCCTCCAGGTGCTCTGGTTTCCCCCACAGTCCAAAGACATCCGGTACAGGTGAATTGGGTAGGCTAAATTGTCCATAGTGAATGTGTGTATGGATGATTCCCAGAGATGGGTTGCGGCTGCATAAAAACTTGCTGGATAAGTTGGCGGTTCATTCTGCTGTGGCGACCCCAGATTAATAAAGGGACTAAGCTGACAAGAAAATGAAATGAAATGAATTCTTGTGTTGCAAAGCTTAATTTTAATTTTAATTTAGCATCTATACTCTAGTCTTCTGATATGCCAAATTTGTGCTGATGTTTCCAAAGATAAAAAAGCATTTTTTTGTGTTTCTTTTTTAAGTGTTAGGCCTTAGTCAAATTTGTGGTAACAAAACAACGCAAACAGAAGTATATAATTTTATGTTAATTAATAACTGTCAAATTGCTGTTTAAATAATTTCTAAAAAAAATTTTATTAAAGAAAATGTTCATCAAAGAAAATGTCAATTCTGTCCTAGTGCTGGGCGATATGGCAAAAAATGCAATCTCGATAATTATTTTCCATAATGAGCGAAAATGATATATATAATTCTCTAATATCAAACACACTTTTAGATTCCCATTGTTGTACGTACATTGCTGCTGTGTGTCTTAGATCAGTATAGGGTGAAAAAGTCCAGAGCTAGGGCTAGGTGATTTGGTCTTAAATCTAAATGTCAATTAATTTAACATTTTAGCTTGATTACGAAGGGTGCATTACTTGATTTTAAAATAATTGAAAGAAACAAACACTCTATACAATAAAAACTTCAGGTAACCTGCATTCTTTAGTTTGGAGAGTGAATCAGTCATGACAGAATTACTGTGTGTGTGAGCTATAAGTTTCTTGTGGCCTGTTCAAAATCACAAATTATGAAAGTAACAAACATTTAGCAGCTATTGATTCCTGTCACTCCAGGCTGGGCCTGTTGGCATTTCTGAGTTGGCATGTTCTCCTTGTGTTCGTCTGGGTTTCCTCCATGTGCGCTGGTTTTCCTCACAGTCCAAAGACATGCGCTATAGGTGAATTGGGTAAGCTAAATTGTCTGTAGTGTATAAGTGTGTGTCAGTGTGAGAGTGTATGGGTGTTTCCCAATACTGGGTTGCAGTTGGAAGGACATCCACTGTGTAAAACATATGCTGGAATAGTAGGTGGTTCATTCTGCTGTGGCAACCTCTTAAATAGAGACTAAGCCGAAGGAAAATAAATAAATGAATGATTCCTGTCACAAGGTATTTTAGAAAGCCCATACAGATCTTCTGGTGAACTGAAGGGTTTTGCTATCCTAACTGGTTTTCTCTGAAGCAGGCCTGAGCGTGTTTGTGTGTGACTCTAGGTGATGTTGAGAGTGACCTGGTAACAGCCTGTGTGAATATTCACAACACCAGCCAGGGCAGATGGCAGAATGTTTGTTTACTAAATGTAATTTCCCTCTAAGTTGTGCTAAGTGTAGAGCAAGGCACAGGTGATCTGTCTTATAATGGACACACACACAAACACACGCACACACACACACACACACACACACACACACACACACACACACACACACACACACACACACACAAGCACACACATTTACTAGAGAAAACAAGCCTAATTGCTGCTTAGCCCACTTTTGACCCTGCGTGTTGTCAGAAGCAGTTACACCGGACAAATGCAAATGTGTTTGTGTGTATGTCAACAGTGAGATCCGCTTGAGAGAAAGACGGGCTGAGATGGTATCCAGTGGCAGGTGCTGAGTGTGTTTACCTTCTGCTGAGTGCTTTATAGCACTTTCTTGTGCCGTTGTCCACTTGTAAGCAACTTTTGCTTGCTTGGAAATGCTCTTTCATCAGATTCTGTAAAAGTCGGTCTGCAAATGTTTGCTTGGACCTTTATCTGATAGTCCTGTGTTCATTGACATCTTATGAGGGTCAGTGTGACTGGATTAAGAGGGTGTTGACCTTATTTCATCAGCGTGAGTAAAGAATGTCACATAACGATGGTGTAAGCTAAAAATGCACAGGTCATATTGACTAATATTCCAGAGCTTGTTGGTTTTTGAGTCTGTGCATGTCGAAAGTCTTGTAAGAAGAATGTTTTATCAGTGAACGAACGTAGAGGCAGTTGCAGGTGTATAGGATGCTGGTTCTTCACACCGTTCCACCACCTAAGTGGAAGGTTCATCTTCAGAACACATACTATATAGAAGTCAAAAAATAAATTATTAAGATAGAACCAAAGAGCTTTTTTTTCCTCCATTGACAGAAATGGTCCCAAGATGTTACAGTTTTTTTGGATTGCTTAAGCTCGATTTTCAAAACAGGGCCCGTGTTTTCAAAACAGTACACACAATTAGCACAACCACACACCCAAGTAGCAAAACACTACACATCCTTTGCATAATTAAACACTCTTATAAAAACTATACACTTTTGTTTAAAAACCACACTTTTTTACCATAAGAAACACACATTTTCACATTTACTATACACTGTTTGCACGAGTTACACACTGCTGTGATAAACCTAAAACACTTTTAGCACTTCTACTTCCCTATGATTAGAGTAGGCTTCCATCAACAAAGTACAAATATAAAGTAAATTCACCAAACACTACTCAAGAACAATGTTGCACACTGGAGAAACTCATTTATTCCTCAACATGTCCAACATGTTGGCATGAAGATTCAAAGTACTGTAATATGTCACTTTACTGTATGTTTTGAACTGTAAGTTAGACATTGTCTCATCTCATGCTTGATCTCTTCTTCATCCATTCGTAAAACTACCTGAAGAACAGTGTCAGGCAAAATTGTGTAGTTCAGTGTAGATCTAGTATTACATATTACAGTACAGTAAAATATTATGAGACAGTATGCAAGATCACACTGCTAAAGTGAATACATTCCTCTGTATAATCATGCCACAGCCTTTTCACCCTTTCAAAATAGTGCTCGAAAGGCACTCCATAAATTTGCTTCATTTGAACATGTTTTTTTTTTTATGGTGTGTGCCAGTGTTGATATTGAGACCTGATGGTTTTCATTGAAACTGGCATTTTATAGTGCTTAAACACCTGATTGTTGTGTCTACAATAAATCAAACAAGTGTTTGCACACCTGATGACTGTGTTGAACCAGTTGGTTGAACGGTGCAGTAATTTGACAGTCAGTGCTTTGGTATTGCAATGATGTGACTTCATGATAGATTTAAGTGTGTAATGTATGCTAAGTGTGTTTAGTGTTTTGAAAATCACTGTGTGCAGAGTTTTGCAACAAGTGTTAAGTTGACAATGTGCTTATAGTTGTGCAAATATGGGCTGATGTTTTGATACTTGTGTGTAAGGTTTTGCTAATAGTGTACTACTTTAAATTTTAGTGTGTAAGCAATCCTAAAAAACTGTAAATGTGCAGAAAAGGAACCTAAAACATTCATTTTGCTTTGGCTTTATTTATCAGGGGTCACCACAGCAGAATGAACTGCTAACTATTCTGGCAAATGTTTTATGCTGCAGATGCCCTTCCAGCCGCAACCCAGTACTGGGAAACACCCATACACTCTCACAATAATTTATTTTCTTTTTCGCTTAGTCCTTTATTTATCAGGGTCGCCCCAACAGAATGAGTTGCCAACTAATCAAGCATATATGTTTTACGAAGCGGATGCCCTTCCAACCGCAACCCAGTACTGAGAAAAACTCATACACTCACATTCATTCATTAATTTTCTTTTCGGCTTAGTCCCTTATTCATTAGGGGTCACCACAGCGTAATGAACCACTTACTTATCCAGCATGTTTTACCCAGCAGATACCCTTCCAGCCACAACCCAACACTGAGAAAAAACCATACACTCTTGCATTCACACACATACACTACGGCCAATTTAGCTTATTCAATTCACCTAAAGCGCATGTATTTGGACTGTGGGGAAACAGGAACACCTAGAGGAAACTCACCCTAACAAAGGGAAAACATGCAAACTCAACACAGAAATGCCAACTGACCCAACCAAGGCTCGAACCAGCGACCTTCTTGCTGTGAGGCGCAGCTGTTCTAACGCCTGCTCAGCTGGAAGGGCATCTTCTGCGTGAAACATATGCTGGATAAGTTGGCGGTTCATTCCGCTGTGGCAACCCCTGATTAATAAAGGGACTAAGCTGAAAAGAAAATGAATGAATGAATGTTGGAGTATGATGCGTTTACTATGGCTAGTACATGCTTGCATTTTGTGCTGCCCATAGTAAATGCACACCCGGATATAGGCAAATAAAGTCTTATTTATTTATTTATTCATAAATTTTGCCAATATTGTTCTTGGAGCGGGCAACACGGTGGCTCAGTGGTTAGCACTTTCACAATTAGGCATGGGCCTGTTCTTTGACAGAATCATGGCTGCATATTTTATTTTGATTTAATTTATTGGATTTTTTTTTAGATATGATGATTTTATAAATATATTCTCAAGTATTAAATTACCCTTATTAGCAGTTTCAAGAAATTCTATAGAAGTAAATAAAAAAAAAAAAAAAAAAAAGTTCTACTGATGTAAAAGTACTGCTGTAAAAATGTATAAGTCATAATCGATTTAAAATTAGATGTCTTCTTGCGAGTAGGAATATGATTCACACTAAAATACTTCTTTGAAACTTTTGCTCTGGTTTGTGCTGGTTATATTACATTGGTTAATGTATTATTTCTATTTTTCCAGGTATGCTATGGCCTTATATAACCAGCATGTCTGTCCTGTGGACAACTGGTAAGTAATTCTTTAAAATTATGTTATAAATTATATTATGCTGTGATTCATTCATTCATTCATTTTCTTTTCGGCTTAGTCCCTTTATTAATCAGGGGTCACTACAGCAGAATGAACCGCCAACTTATCCAGCATATGTTTTTTGCAGCGGATGACCTTCCAGCTGCAGCCCATCACTAGGAAACAATCATTCACACTCACTCACACTCATACACTACAGACAATTTAGCTAACCCAATTCACCTGTAGTGCATGTCTTTGGACTGTGGGGGAAACCGGAGCAGCCAGAGGAAACCCCCTCGAACACGGGGAGAACATGCAAACTCCACTCAGAAATGCCAACTGACCCAGCCGAGACTCGAACTAGCAACCTTCTTGCTGTTGGATGTTTCCTGTGTTCGCGTGGGTTTCCTCCGGGTGCTCTGGTTTCCCAAACAAGTCCAAAGACATGTGGTATGGGTGAATTAGGTAAGCTAAATTGTCCACAGTGTATGCATGTGAATGAGTGTGTATGGACGTTTCCCAGTGATGGGTTGCAGCTGGAAGGACATCCGCTGCGTAAAACATATGGATAAGTTGGTGGTTCATTCTGCTGTGGTGACCCCAGATTAATAAAGGGACTAAGCCGAAAAGAAAATGAATGAATGAATAGTTTCATTTGCTTAAGAAACAAAATAGTTTTTTTGTTTTAACCCTAATGCTGACTAATGATCCTGGTTTTAACACATATTTATCTTTAATATTTGCATGTTTATTAATGTTTGCTTGTGCATATTTTCAAATTTAGACAGAAATGAATTTGTATGCTTTTACTTTGAGGCTATTAATGATTTACTGATTAGAACAAGCAACAGAGAGAGGGGGAGACCTTCTGGCTCTGTACCTTCACTTTTTCTTCCGTAATCTGCTCTAATGAGGGATGCATTTCAAATGAGATGCTAAACGAGTGTCCAGATCTGCTCTTATTAACTTTATTTGCTTCAAGAAGACCTGAAGCCCACTTGTTTTCATTGCTAATCGCAGGTTAAATTGTTCTTCATACCAAGAGAGCTTTTAGTCAAACATTAGCATATGACGGTGTCTGTGAAGTGTCTATCTTAAATGTTAGCACTGCTGTCTGGCTTTGGGGAGGAACCACACTGTGCCTTATTTATTAAAGCAGGAATAATGGCATCAGTGTGTGAGTCTGTCTCATCATATATATGTGGAATAAACTGTCTCAGAAATTCACAGAAAAATAACTATCTTTCATGTGTAGAGCAAATAAAGCATTTCTTTTCTAACTGCGCATAGTGGAGCTGAGGCTGAGCAAACAAGATCAAATTCAGTGTGTTTAATGAAACAGAACCCACAGGCTGCTTTTACCTTTTCTGAGTGCTTTGCATTCCTGTGTAATTTTTACACTCTGGAAACAACAGTGGTCTTTCTTCTGTTTTTTTCCCCTTGGTAGGAGGAGTGTTAGCGCTGTAGTGCGGGGTGTGTTTGCTTTAGTAATGAAGTGTAGCCACATTATGTTTGCCCGGAGTTCTGCATGGTGGAGTATGAATTGAAGTTATGGAGGCTGTCAAAAGCACCTTTCTGAGATATAAGGCCAGTTCACACCAAGGACTCTGATTGGTCAGATACACATAATGTTCTGTGATTTGTGGATCGGTTCCACGGCACCACAAAAAACATCACACGCTTTTAAGCATGCTCTTTTGCACTGAAACAATACGTAAACTTCCCATTGTTTACATACTTGTTTATGTCCTCCTACAACATACAGTTAATGTTAGTAACTCTGCATGTAATAGATCAATTTCAACAAATAAAAATACTTACAGGTTGTGGCTCACAATCCACAGCTTTGTCGGTTGGAGGAGATTTTAGTCGAATTCAGCACTGAACTACGAGAGATTCTGAAAGCTGTCCTTTGTCAAATGCTAGCTATATATTTTTAAATAATTATCTGGAACATAATTAAAATAAAACTGTAACCACTTCTGTCTTTGTGTTGTGTCCTTTAGAAGCCCAAACACAGAAAAAGAACAAGCTCTGTAGAAAAGCTCTATTAGCTTTCTCTGCTACATTATAGTATTGCAGCGCCTCTGGCCACGCCATTTTGCTGTGCGGGGTGTATGCTCATGGCAAAGAGCTTAGAATCACCAAGTGTCGACTCTGAAAAGAATGTTCCATTGCAACAGCAGCGCCAAGCAACAGCCTCGGGATTCCGCCATTTTGGATCAAAAGCGATTGTCCATCCATTGGATCTTATTGTTGTCGTGATGGCAAGCAGCTGATATAGGGGAAAGTGGGGCACAAAGTAACTTTCTGGTTTTAGTCAAATAATAACTAAAGTAATCGGGTTAGTCAGACTATTTGTTTTTTACCTACAAAACACAAGCCTACAAATGAGCACTGAAAGTATGATCGCTGGACCTATGATTTCTGTGCAGTAAAAATTTGACTATTTACCCCACAACAATGTCGCAAGTTGTAACAGAACGAGAGTTAGTTGTAACACATGTTTATAAAGGCAGATTTCACACAATTAATTTAAATTTTGTTTACTTTAAATAGTAGCTAAATTTTCTCAGTACCTTGCTCAATTTATTTTTTATTCTACATTGCACAGCATGCTTATTTATTTATTGGGTAAACACATTTGAATTTATTTGTATTATTATCCATTATGCATTTATTTGCAGTATTATAGCAATAAAATATATACATTTTTTAATTATTAAAATAAAAAATAATATTTTTTTGTGTTTAAAAAAAATTCTATTAAAAATCATTTTATTTAAAAGTTCTCAACATTATACTTAAAATTTTAAAATTATTTTGTTGGTTTAATTGGTGTGGTGTTTTTTTTTACATCTTTCAAAATTGTTTTATATTTTAGCCTAGAAGACAATGATCACAACAATATAAAATTTCACTAGCATACTTCTACAGATTTTTTTTTAAATAAAATAATATTGACCATAATAAAAAATACTTTTATGCTGCAAAAATAGTTTCACCTGTGTTTCTCATCCAAATTTCGCTGAACTTTTTCAATAATTGGCAGGAAAACGTCTGCCCACACAGTGGTGAAAACTCCGAAAGCATGCCATGATTAACCCTGAGCAAACACCTTAAAACTCTGTTACATTTTATCCTGCGCTACTTTGTGCCACGGTCAATTAAATTAACATGACTTTCAAAATGGGATGTTGATAGTCTGACAGTACACTTTTTTTGCTGTATTATGTTATAATTGTATATAGTATTTTTTTTATTTTTATAATAATAAATTTTTATGTCAAAAGCTACTTTGTCCAATGTGATTGAATTCTGACACATAAATTCATCATATATACACACACATACACATCTATGGTGATATTATTATAAATATGTCTCCTAATCTGATTCCACTTAAACACAAATGGGGAATTCTGAAGAGACATCACGTTGAGTATCTCTTTGAGCAACTCTAAAAGAGGGGTCATAATTGAAGAATAGAAAAGATATGTTTAATACTCATTTTTGCATCACCCTAATTTAAGTAAAACTTTTAAAAAATTGTAATTTAAGTTATTTTGTTACCTTAACTTTTATAAGTTAAACAGATATATTAAACTTAGTCTTGTCAGTATTTTGGAAATTGTTTTCTTTTCATTGAGATATTGTTTTAAATGTTGCTTTTCAATGGGGGTGGATAAATATATAATATCTTAACTTGTATTTAATTCAAAATTTTAGTTCATTCTGTTTAATGTTAGTTATCAGTGCTGTTCTATTGGAATTTTCATTCCATAATGGTCGCTGCTCGACACTAGCGGCATCTAGTGGCTGTTTACCAAATAGCAACAGAGTGCGGCCTCTTGATGATTCTATGCTCTTTGCTTTTTTGTACTCCTTAAACTTTGTTTCCTGTAGGCTTTGCACTGTAAAAGCCAACATCTCCCTTTGTATTGAACTTTGAGCATCTTTCAGAGATTTTGTTTATATTCACACAGCTACATTACACATCAACTAAAGTGTAAATATGTAGTGGACCACTCCTTTAAAAAAACAGATTCTATAAGACATTCAACATCGCAGTCTTGCTCTGAAATGCACAAATATTCTGCTCTGGATTTGTTTAGAACTTTTTTCTGACAAAACGAGACAAAAAAAGACAGTATTGCGTCTAAAATGTTTACAGTATTAGCTTTAAACAGTAACAGTGTTAACACTTTTTAACAGTATTAATCATGTAAATCTATGAGCTTGATCAGGGTTAGAGCTAAACTGCAGAAAAGTGGATCTTACAGGCCATTTTTGAGGATCCCACGTATAAACACTAACATCTGACTGAGCACATGAATGATCATGTGAGACGTGGGATTACAAACTAAGACTTCCATCATGAAATTATCCTCATCTGAACGCATGCGAGAAGCTATAGAGATTTAACTTGTCCAGACGTCCACATGAGAAACAATGTAATTAATATAACAGATAACCCATAGTATCAGTCTAATGATGATCTATGATTGACATTTATGCTAAAGTTAGCTCGCACATTGTTAAAACATTATTAACAACTTATTTTGCAAACTTCTACCAAGGTTAATAACTTTATTGTCAAAGACGTGGATTTAAAATTCCTCTAAATTTAAAAGAATAGCAGACTCCAAATCACAACTACAATGAAAAAAGAGGAACACTAACATTGAGCTAATTGTCTAAATTAATAAATGAAAAAAAGAATCTTTCCTTCTTGAACATTTAAAATGGTATACATGCTATTGTAGCTACTGTGGTAACACTTTAGTATAGGGTCCAATTCTAACTGTCAATAACTAATGGCTTTTACCTGCTTATTAGCATTATTAAAGTACATTTTCTGCATGATCTTTTTCCTTGTCTTTAATCTTAACAAATATCGTAATGCCAAAACAAAAACAACACCTTTATACCAATTAATATGCAGCAAATTATGCGTTTATAAAGATAAGACATAGTTAATGATTTGTTAATAGTGAGAATGTTCTTTAAAATATAAGTGGGACCATCATGGTTATATATTTTTTCATAGTTATCTTTCTTTGTGGTGGTGGATTGGTGCAGCAGCAGCAGTAATGTGGTCGATGTATCGGTCCATTGTGGTAAAGAAGGAGCTGAGCCTGCAGGCAAAGCTGACGATTTACCGGTCAATATAAATTTCTACTCTCACCTATGGTCATGAGCTTTGGGTCATGACCTAAAGCACAAGATCTCGGATACAAGCAGCCTAAATGAGTTTCCTTTGCAGGGTGGCAGGGCGCACCCTCATAGGGTGAGGAGCTCTGTCACCCAGAAGGAGCTCAGAGTAGAAAAGTCAGCTGAGGTGGCTTGGGCATCTATTTCGGATGCCTCCTGGACACCTACCTAGGGAGGTGTTCCAGGCATGTTCCACCGGAAGGAGGCCTTAGGGAGGACGGAGGACACGCTGGAGGGACTATGTCTCTCGACTGGCCTGGGAACGCCTGGGTATCTTCCCCGAGAAGCTGGAAGAAGTGTCTGGGGAAAGGAAAGTCTGGGTTTTTTTCCTAAGACTGCTGACCCTGAGACCCGGCTCTGGAAAAGCGGAGGAAAATGAATGAATGAATTAATAAATGAATATCTTTCTTTGTGTGAAGGGGCCTTAAATCTAGTCATCCAGTTCAGAGGTCTGGTCTAGTTGATTGTTATCTATTATTATTGAGCAAGAAGTCAAACTTAAACATCCACAAACCTGCAAGACTCACTTTGTCTCTGTTATAACTTTATGCTGTATGTGTTTATGTATTTATACATGGCAGTGTCTGTGTTTGTTTGTTTATAGGATGTATAACCAGTCATGTGAGGAGGATCTGGTAATGCAGAGAGGACCAACCTTGTGCTGTACTCTGGACAACGTCCCTCTCATAAGGTAATGACAATTCAAAAACTTTGGTATTTTAAGAATTTGCTGTAACTTACTAATTATTTAGGTACCAATTTTCACTATTAACTACTGTGTTATTAACTGCCTGTTATAAAGATGTTGTATGCTTATTAGTACTTGTAAAATACATATTCTGCATGATCTTATTCTACATTCCTAGTCCTACCTAATAAAAACTCCAACTACTATTTAATTCAATTCAATCAAGTTTATTTGTATAGCACTATCCACATTAGTTATTGTTCCAAAGCAGCTTTACAAAAGGTGCATGCATTAAATTACAGTCAAAATCAGAAAGTGTTAAGGTGTTGTGCCTTGGGTGGACAGTATACATCTGAAGTCAGAGGTATTAACGCCCTGTTTATTTTTTTCCCCAATTTCTATTTAACGAAGAGAAGATTTTTTTCAACACATTTCTAAACATAATAGTTTTAATAACTCATTTCTAATAACTGATTTATTTTATCTTTGCCATGATGACAGCACATCATATTTTACTAGATATTTTTAAGATACTTCTATACAGCTTAAAGTGTCATTTAAAGGCTTAACTAGGTTCATTAGGTTAACTAGGCAGGATAGGGTACTTAGGCAAGTTATTGTATAAAGTTTTTTCTGTAGACTATCGAAAAATATAGCTTAAAGCTATTATTGAAAAATAAAACAAATAAGACTTTCTACAGAAGAAAAAAACATTATCAGACATACTGCAAAAATTTCTTTGCTTTGTTAAACATAATTTGGGAAATATTTAAAAAAGAAATAAAAATTTAGGGGGAGCTAATAATTTTTGACTTCAACTATATAACATTTAGTTATACAATATATAGTAATGTACACTGTTAGACATTATATAGTATTTTTGTGGTAACTTACTGGCAGCACTTGCTGCCAGCAATTTATCACAACTGCCCCTTTACAGTATCTTACCTGTAAATGTGTTTTACAGTAGCAGGGCCCTACTGCGATTTATTAACAGTAAAAAGTGAAACCTGGTTTATACTTGACGCGTCCACTAGTTCGCTTGAGTGTGCGCGGCGAATGTGACATCATCGATGTGTTTTCTGAGGTTCGCTTTGGGTGCAACATGCATTTCACGATTGCAACGTGCAACATGATTTCAGCTGGCGTTCCTAGTTCCTATTATTGCCATTTTAGCATAAGTAGATGACAGAAACCAGCCAGACAGTAATGTGTTAATTTAGCGGGCTAAATCTAAAAAAAAAAATAAATCTGTATTTTTTAGTGGACCTTTTTTGTTTATATTCTTGCCACAATAAAAAATATATTTCAAAGCAACCCATGTTCTGTTGTCATTAATATTTTAACAAACTTTAATAGGTAGAACTGTCCGAGATATGAACAAAAGCTTGAATGGTAATAAAAATCCTTATAATCTTTAAAATAATTTTTAAAAATAATAAAAATTATTAGTTTAAAAATCTAGAATGTTATTAATGATATGACGTAGTTCCGGAAACTTTTTACTTCTCAGTTTATTTGTTAACTTTACTGTCTATTTTTTTTTGACCGCCCACTGTTGGTTTTAAGAATATCACAACGGCGAACGTAACAAGTAAAAAAGCCTCGTTCGTTTCTTAAGGTAAACGCACAGTCAGAGGAGGTGCTCGATGCGGCGCCAGGCAAAAGTATAAATCTAGCTTTAAGCCTCTCCACTGCTCACGACATTTGCAGTTCTTGCAGTGTCCGAAATAAAGGAGTGCAAAAGCCTTTTTTCTCTGTGCGTTCACCATGATTGAATGAATGAATACTAGAAAGTCATACACCACTAAAAATTTTGGAGGGAATGTGGAGACAACATAAAAAAAAAATATTTTTTATTACTCATTTATGAAAAGAAAAACAAAAAATACAGAAAAAAACTACTGTTTCTCATCTCACGTGCACGTGCAAATATTTCAACGTATCCGCAGCTCAAATCAGATCCAAATTTTCCGAATACCAAGATGATCATAACTCCACTCAGCTCCCGGACTCACTATTGTAAATGAATGACTTCCAATCTGTCGCTTGTCGTTTGTTGTGTGCAGTGGAAAGTCGGCTTTACCGCAACTTTTTTTTTTTTTTTTTTGTGGTAAAACGGCCTTTATCACATTTTAAATTTACAGTATGACAGTACTGCATTTTTTACTTTTGAATTTAATAAATTCCGAACAAGTGACGAGATCATGTACAACAGTATTTTTATTATTCATTGTTATCATATCCAATATAATAACAATGTATAACAACGCAATGTATAGTCATCTTTTAAATATCTGTTTTAAATACATTTTGTGATACAATATGTTAATTACAATTTTATTTTTTTGTCTTCAACTACAATAGAAGTACTTGATTACATTAATTACAGTCAAAGTCCCTTTAAGGCAAGTCATTTCACTTGGTGGGCATCTTTGAAATGCCTCTCAGGCCGTATACACAAGCATTCTGTTTGAATGAGGAAACTTAAATTTTCCAAGATTACGATTACATTACATATTACGACAACTGTCTATTTAGATTCAATTCTGAATGATCATATCACACTAAAATCTGCAGAAACTCACGTCTGGTTCGAGCCTCTCCCCCGGAGTATCGTCATTCTATAACGATTGGCTCCTGTACTAGAAGGCGGGGCTTCATTCGCCATATTGACAGTTACACTTTTCCCCATTCAAAAGTATACGAGTGACATGTCTTGTGTATTCTATAGGCTGATTCTCAATATTAATTACGCAATGTTCGGACTTGCATCTTGTAAGTTCAGACTTAAAAGGTCGAATTACCGAGGACACAAGTCAGGTACTTGTTCAAATGGAATGGCAGTGTACTTTATAACGTCACTTACCTCATCATGAATTAATCGGTTTCACTGTACATTAACAATAAAATGATTTAATTATATAAAGCATTGCCTTATAATTAATATTATATTGATATTATAAATCTATACATTTGATTTAAGAAAATGTAAAAAAACATAAATCACCATAAATGTGAAGTGTAATGGGTTACTATACACAGACTCGTGTCTTTGATTATCAGATTTAATAAATGGCAATGGACATTATACAAGTATAAAGGACAAGATGTACACAATAAGAAATAAATACAATGTTAAGCATTTTGGTAAACAAAGACAAACCTTGTACAACATGGTAACATATTTAAAGACAATTATAAAACATAAAATAACACTGACAAAATAATACACCTGAAAACAGATAATAGATTTATAAGACCAAAAACTGTTCATTAGATTTGCATAAAATGTATTAAATATCATGTTTTAACTACAATGGATAGATGCAACTCAGTGGTACATCCATGATGCACTGGTTGATGTAAAGCTGCTCTCGGCGGGGGAGGTGATGACGAAGATACCGCTGACAAGCTAGGGGTCAGAGTCCGCATAAGCTTAGGCTCATCACCAAAGACTCACTATTTTCATAAATAAACTGCTGATTCGAGTTTAAAACAACTACAACTACATTCTAGTGCATAACAGTGTCATAATAAATAAATAATTCTTAAAAATTTTATTGTTTTGTTTATCGCATATAGTTAACTATTTATGTGCTGTGGGTAAATGGTGTGTTTCATCCCAGCTACCACCAAAAGTATATTTCAAACCTGTGGGAAGCACTGCCTTGCATTTTACAAAATGTTCCTCACATTTTCAGAATTGTGGTTGTAGTTTTGTCCTCAAACACATTGTTTTCTAATTTGACTGTGTTTCATCATCAAAGTGCAAAACTGCAGAACGTGGAATAATTTACAAGATCTTTGACCTGAGCTGCTCAATAGAGCGTCTGTCTCCATTGCCTTCAGAGCTGTGTGCTTTATGGAGTGTGTGAGCTCAAGTTATAAGTTAAGTCTTATTTATGTTTGCCTTTGGGTGTGTCTGTAATCTGCATTTTCACTACCAGCAGAGAGTGTGTGTGTGTGTGTGTGTGTGTGTGTGTGTGTGTGTGTGTGTGTGTGTGTGTGTGTGTGCGTGCGTGTGCGTGTGCATGGGTTTATTTTGACTGCTACCCACCATAGTCTACAGCTCTTAGAGGTGCTCTGAAGTGGGTGAAAGGTTAAAAAATTGCGCACTCACACAATCTTGGAATGGCGTACACATTTCTAGCTTATCATTATAGAGCTCAACACCTCAGTGATGTATTTATAGAAGGAATAGCTACATGTAATCCAGTCGAGGCTCATTTGGCAGAGACTCACAATATGGTTTAGGGCAGTTGAGTTTGCTTCAGGGAGTTTTTAGAAATGAAGGCTTTTCAGGAGAACATGGCTTTGGGTTTGGCATTAAATGTTCCTTTTTGTTACACAATTATTTTTTTATTCTTCATGCATGTTTTTTATAGTGTCAATGTCATATTTTATTTACTTACAAATTTTTTTAGTGGGTGACATAGTGGCTTTGTAGTTAGCACTGTTGTCTCACTGCAAGACTGTCACTAGTTCAAGTCCCAAATGGATGTGTATGGATGTTTCCCAGTACTTGGTTGTGGAAGGGCATCTCCTGTGAACATATGCTAGATACATTTGCACTTCATTCCACTGTGGTGACCCGTAATGAATAAAGGGACTAAGCTGAAGGAAAATGAGTGAATGAGTTGTTCAACTTAGATTCATTCTGAAAATGTAGCCCGTATATACGTTTCTGGAGATCGCAAATTATGTAGCCAAAGCTACATAGGGCTGCATTTCAACTTTAAAATGAGCTATGACGCCGTAACTTTTCACGTTTACAAGCTGACCTCTTAACTGCATGTGGATGGCTTTTCTGCCTTTACCAGTTTGTCCGGTAGCTTGACATGTATGTTGGTGGACTTGAGATACAGAGGGTAGTTGACTGAGACGAAAGGGTTTGAGTCAGGTAAAGAACGGTTCCAGAAAGCAGGTAAGACTAAAACAGAAGCCAAAAAATAAAATGAACAAGTAAATTACAGAGTGAGAATTTTAAAATGTGATAAAAATCAGGGGCCTTTTCTTTTTCTGGATTGCTTTTTAAAACCCTGCGGTTGAGTTTAGGGAAGGGGGAGGGTGAAGGGACCGGTCGGTTGGTCAGTCAGTCAGTCAGTCAGTCAACAGAGGCCTCTGGTGGATTTACATGTGAACAGCAGACGTGAATAGCAATCACGAAAAAAAAAAAAAGTACACAGCGGCCTCTGGTAAATTCGACAAAAACTACAAAAAAAGTAGCTCCTGGGACATATTTTGCATTCTCCAGATATGTATATAGGGGTACATAATCAGAATGAGTCTGGGTTGGAATTGTTTTAGTTTTATACTTTTTGTTTTAGTTCATGAGAATAACCCTGTTTTGAAATTCTTGTAAAAAGCACATGAATATAATGAATCTTTTTAAAAATCCTTTTTAAAGGCAAAATTTTGCAATATCTACAATAAATCTAGCATTTTTGGCATATTTCAAAACAATTATAAACAATACTTTGCTGAGCGTGTTTTTATGCTGGTAGACCACTTGGATTTATAAATTCGACACCAAAGCAAGTCATAATGAATCATTCATTCATTCATTCATTCATTCATTCATTCATTCATTCATTCATTCATTCATTCATTTATTCATTCATTCATTCATTCATTCATTTATTCATTCATTTGTTTATTCATTTATTTGTTCATTCATTAGTTCGTTCGTTCATTCATTAATTCATTCATTTGTTCGTTCGTTCATTCATTCATTCATTCATTCATTCATTCATTCATTTATTCATTCATGCATTCATAAATTTATTCGTCCATTCATTCGTTCATTAATTAATTCATTCATTCATTCGTTTGTTCATTCGTTTGTTCGTTCATTCATTCATTAATTTATTCATTCATTCATTCAGTCGTTCGTTCATTCAGACAATTCATTCAAAACAGCTGATTCATTTAGAAATGAAGCAAGTGACTGTCTCTGAGGCACCATTTGCAATACGCTTTAGTATTAAAACTGTTTCAGAACGAAAACAATCCACGTCCACACTGGAGTTTCATCTACCGGTACTATAAAGATCTCTGTCCACACTAAACCGCTAAAAATGCACATCACATGACCAAACACTCTCTGGCATGAGCTGCAGCATAGGCACACGTCTGAGCTCCAGGCAGTCAGTGGGTGCATTGAGCACACCTTCCCAGGTGACATTTCATCAAGAATCTGGATCTCATCTCACTGTAGTTGTTAAATGTGATATGTAATTTATCTAATTCTATCTAACTTTAATTCTATCTTTATTTCCTATAAACGTATTGTACGTTATACTCTTATTATGCCCATTATTGATTATTAAAACTGATATTCAGCAAAAGAGACAGGGTGTGTTTTATATTTTTCACTAAAAGTGAAAGGAGGCAGTTATGTTATAGGCTCCGTTTTGCTATAAATATGCGGACAGTGAAGATGGAAGTCATATAAATACAGTGTATGTAGCTACACAATGCCTCAACATTTTTGGTGTCTGTTAAGTTGTTAATATCAAAATGTTTTCATTTTATTGTTAATATAGTGAAACAACATAGCCTGAAGGGTGATGTGAATACTGTTATAAAGTACACTGTTCCCTTTGAAGATTTACCCGAGGTCTTCTTTGGATTTTGTTTTCCATATCAAACAATATCCAATGTTTGCAGCCATTTTGTCTGCCTCAGTTTTCAGATGTCTCATTGTTTTTAAAACCAAAATGGCCTCTTCAGTGTTTTCAAAATGCTCCATTTTTGGGGCTTCAAAACACCGGGTTAGCAAAGGTGTAACCATAGAAAAACGTATGTGTTTTAAAACTAAAACGTATTAGTGTTAATGGGACCTTAAATATCCTGTGCATTGCTTTGAAATATGCATTTTTATTTAATGTTTGACGTAATCTCAACCAAAACACAAAGAGAGGGTGGGCCGTAGCTCCTCCACTTTTAAAACAACAACAGCAACAAAAAACAATAGTGTTTGTTTTATCACAGCTCTGCCAGTGAGATTGGTTGAGCTCAACCACTCTCACTCGAGTCAAATGAAAAGCAAATGTGAAGCGTCTTGAAGGGGGTGGGGCATGTCAGATGCTAGAGAGCATTTAATTGGTTATGATTTAATGAGAAACTACAAGTATGAGGTGACGCTAATGAAACTTATTTAAAATTACAGGCTTCACATGCTGATATGAGTTTTATATCTTCTAAACGCAAATTTTGTCACTATGTTGGAGCACACCAGCTTATAGATATCTTAAAAACTAACAATACTGATACTACTAACATCTAAAAAACTTTATTTTGATTTCATGGGACCTTTAAAATAAATTATTGAATTATTGGCTCCCTCAGTTTAATCCAAAATGGTAAAAAAAACTGTTGAGATCCACAACATTTTCAATTAAGAATTTTATTTTTTTGGCTGAACAATCAGTTTAATGCTCAGTAAGAATCAAAAATGCGCTGCAGTCTTTGGCTGATTGGCTGCAAATAAACTTTGTTTAAACCATATCTTTACAGTCGCACCTCCCTTTTTAACAGCTTCATACCACAGTGACATGTTATACAAAGCTGAAACGCTCTTCAGTGAAGATCACCTGAAGATTTCCTTTCATGGAGAGATGCTTGCACAATCTTTCTTACTTGGAGGCCCTATCTTTGCTTATCTTTTGTCATTTCACATACATGGTAACAGCTGTGTAAGAAAGGCTAAGGGCCCTCAAGCCCTCTTCTACCTCAGTCTCTCTTTCCCCCCAATAATCCAGCGAGCTCCCAGACGGGCCTATTTTAGTCAGCTGCCAATGGGAATTCATCCCTCGGGAGTTTTGCTTTGGATTGTATGTGTGTGTTTATGTGTGTGTATGTGTGTGTATGTGTGTGTGTTTATTAATGTGGTGTGAACCGTGAGCTTCTAACCTCTACTCTGCTGTTCTGATCTGCAGTAAATGCGGGACACTGCCTCCAGAGAGCTGCTTCTTCAGTCTCATCTGCAGCACCGGATCCTTTATGGGTGAGTTTACAAATGAGGGTATCACACACTTGCACTGTCATTCATAAGATTGGGCACATCACGAGTTTTAAAAGAATATTGTGATTTTTTTTTTTTCAATTCAAAGCAAATGTTTTCTTTTTCAAATCATTTTACGTAAATGATACTTCATCACTGCATTACATTAAGCTTCAATTGGGATCTTTCAGAAATCATTCAAATAAGATAAGTTTGCTTTTGAGGATTTTATTATTATTATTATAATTATCATCATTATCATCAATGTGTATAATTTTTTTGGGGATAATGCTACCTTTTTCAGGGTTTGTTAAGTATAATGTTAACAGTTGTTATTACATTTAGTTCTTAAAATATGTTTTTGTAGGTTTTAACAAGGACAGATAAGAATCAGTTTAATGTGTATTTTTTAGTAAACAATTTCTTTGCGTATGTAAAATTACTTTTAATTTAATTTTGTACTGGAGCACATTTTTAACCCAATTTAAATTCTGACAAAATAAAGAGAAAATGTGAAAAAAGTATATAAAAAGTCCAAGGCACTTGAAAAGTAAGTAAAAAGATAAAAAAGCCTTTATTAACATGGCTATTGCTTAAAAAAACCCAACTTACTGCTCAATTGACTAACTAAAAGCTGCTCTAAAGTCCAGCATAGAGAGTGTTAGTTATACACCTATGCAGGTCCAAACGCTTACACATTGCTTAACAGGATGTAAAGCAATACACAAATATCTTTACAAATTAAAAAATTAAAGGATTAAAATGTTACATGAATATAAAAACCTCTGCCTGCATGCCTCATTTCGGGGGGAACATTACTGTTCATGTTTTAGTTTGCTGGAAATTAGAACTGAAATAGTTTTGAAACAAATCTTTGCGCTTAACAAACGAAATTAAATATGTAGGCTAATGGATTTCACAATCACCAGCGATCACAACTCCTTAGATCGCTGGATCTCTAACTTGATATACAGAATGTTACGTTTACTCACATCTACAAATTTCATTTGAATGCATCAGCTTTTTAGGCTACAGCGTAATACACTACTCACTACTCTTGAGTTCTTTTGAAATGTCTACTTTTACTTTTATAATACTTGCACTACATTTTAGGCAAGTAATGGTAGTTTTACTTGAGTATGATTTTTCAGTACTCTTTCCACCATTGCATATGACACAAATATCTAAACTATACAGAAAATTATATATCCAAATAGACTTGGTCAGTAATACGGTAATATGGTATGCCGTGGGATGGAAAAATAGCAACGGTGTCAGTTTCAATACCGTCTTAAAAAAACAATGCACTTAAATAAGAGACAAATATTTAATAATAAATATTATTTATTTAATGCCTACAAATGTGTATGTGCGTGATTGTCATCACGGGACAGTGTGGAGGAGAGAGAGAGGTGAGGTAAGAGGGCGAGTCGCGCACTAAGTGACCTGCAGTTTGCCAGTATTTTCAGTTTTGACCGCACGAGAAGGGAGACGAGAGGCCTGCATTCCCACTGCTGTACGGCGGGAGTTGGGGGATCCGACCAAATTTCTTGCGGTGTGTGAATAAATTTTCGAATAAAGCGGAGCGGTCGGTAACTCTAGTGTATTTGAAAGGGAGCAGGCGCGCGGTCTACTAATATTGCTCCCAAACCAGCGAGTGAGCATGTGTGCATCCTCGTGGATGCTGTTTATGTGTGTGTGTGTGTATGTGTGTGTGTATGTGTGTGAATGAGAGAGCGCATGGTGCTGTGTGTCGCTCTCTCTCTATGTGTGTGTGTGTGTGTGTGTGAATGAAAGAGAGAGAGCGTCTCTCTCTCCCTCCCTCCCTCTCTCTCTTTCTCTCTGTCAATTTGTCTCTCTGTCTGTGTTTGTGTGTGTGTGTGTGTGTGTGTGTGCGTGCGTGGGTGCGTGTGTGCGTGCGTGTGTGTGTGTGTGTGTGTGTGTGTGTGTGTGTGTGCGTGTAAATGAGAGAGAGCGTCCCGCGCAGATCTCTGATACGAACAAGACAAACAGGTAACCGTAAAGCTAAGGTCGCATATACGGTATTTAGTTTCTAAATGGTTTAGGCACAAGCCAACAGTTTGGTGATGCTGTCTGAGCCTTACGTCATTAATTATTTTTTTTTATTATGAATGGTCATACCGGATACCAAGGTAGAATAGGGAGGAGGTTTGATGGTATAAAAATTTGGATACCGCCCAAGCCTATATCCAACACAATATAGTCAGCTCAACAGTAATTATCAAATTAGTAATAGGAGAAAGAAAAGAAGAGAGGGAAAAAGTTCCTTGATTTTTTTTTTGTTTATCTTTATAAATCCCTTATCCAAAGAACACCAGCACAATAATTACCTCTGAAGCACTTTTTGTTTGGTTTTAGAGAGACAATGTTATTCAATAATGCCAAATAGTCACCATATTTAAAGTTTTCAAGTTAATAAACCTGTATGCGTTTATAGTTTTCTACGCTTGTATAGAAGAAAATAATGTAAAACCTGCTAGCTGTGGTCTTCACCTTTATGTGTTTTTACCATTTACATCATTCCTGAACTTTATTTTGTTATTGGCGTTTCGGATCAATCTCTGTTTCACTTCCCAGTAAATGATTCCCATCTGCAGCACAATGATTCACTGTCTGGGCCACAATTAGTTCAGGAAACTGCGGGCTTAGTGTGTTTTTGTATGTGTAATCTCAGTGCCACTGGTTGATGGACTAAGACCAACTATCTTAACCGATGTCTTCATGTTTACTCATGTCAGATTTTTGGAGCAAGACATTATCGTCTAAAAGAGGACGATGCACTTACTGCTTATTCGGTCACACTTTATTTTGATGATCCATTTGTTCAATTTAAGTTACATTGCATCTACATGCCAACTAATTCTCATTAGATTATAAGTAGACTGTTAAGTTAGGGTTAGGGTTAGTGTAAGTTGTCATGTACTTACAAAGTTTCTTATAGTCAGTTAAATGTCTGTTGAAGGAGCAGTATCAACATATTACACAGACAGTCTACTAATACTCAAATGGACTATTAAAATAAAGTGTTGCCACTTATTCTCTCACAAAAGCAGTTCTTTGATTGTCACTTTGATATTTCACAACTCAAAAGTTAAGTGCATTCAGGCATTTATAAAAACTGATCAGCCACTGCACATTAGCAACTGTTGTTGTCAGATACCAAGAGAGATTACCATTCAGGATGGATGAATCATCTCCTTAAAGGATCTGAATTCAATTTGAATCATGTCACATGAAAGCTAACATATTCATATTTGAGGTATATCAGGTCAGGTCTCCAAAAAACTGACATTGGGATATTTTGATCTTTCACAATATATTGTAATATGAATACAATTTTACCAGAAGGCTTGAATATCTTTATTTGGAAAAAATGGGTAATTTTAGATTTATTGGGATTGTTTTTGTAATGCAGTGCAGCTGCATAAAATATAATAAACTAATTACAAACATGGTTAAAACAGATCAAAAATACAAATGTATATAGTTTTATATTTGTAATATATACAGTCAGAATTATTAGCCCCCCTGTATTATTTCTGTTTAACAGAGAGAAGATTTTTTCAGGGTGAAGCAGTGGCGCAGTAGGTAGTGCTGCTGCCTCACAGCAAGAAGGTTGCAGGGTTGCTGGTTCGAGCCTCGGCTCAGTTGGCGTTTCTGTGTGGAGTTTGCATGTTCTCCCTGCATTTGCATGGGTTTTCTCCGGGTGCTCCGGTTTCCCCCACAGTGCTTAGCTTTGCACTGTTTTTGCACTCAAATGTGACAGGATACAGGCTAACCTCCACTGCTGTGTGGATATCTGTTATGTTATTGTACAAAATAAACCTAATTTAACGTCCAATAACCAGGATTGAAGCGTCTTCTTTTATACAATAATTGTTCTGACACGCAGCTGTGCTGATGAAGTAAAGCTGAAGTAAATCGCTGTACTTCATTACACTTGCGCACTGTTTTACAACACTTTAAACATGTGAAACTTACTCTTAATCACATTTGATGATGATTGCTGATCCTAGCGAACAGAACAGACCTTTTATTCCCGGTTGCTTTGCGTATGTCTGGTCTTGTTGACATATACACGTGACTACCGGGACATGTTAATGCGCGCAGCTGTCAATCAATTCGGTGGGCGGGGGGACTGCACTCCTATGTAAAGTTGCGGTCGGTCTGAAAACCGATCCAATTGGTCCACCGTTTTTATGTTGTTAAATTGAAAAAAAAAGGACTGGGTGTGTTTATATCACCCCAATATGATGGTATATACACTATTTATACACATATGTTTGTCCAAATAGCTTGAAAAGTAGATTTTTCACCATAAGTGCCCTTTAAAACTATCGTTCTCTCAATGTTTGCAAAATGATGAAGTAGAAAATGTCTTGTAATGTTTTTGAGATAAAAGATTTGTAAACATCTAAAAGCTTGAATGAATGTTTTAGCTTAGTGGATCAGTGAAACACATTTTGATTACTTCGGGTTTTTTCAACTGTCCGAAAACATCAATTCTACTGTATCTCGTGCAACCGCTGCCTTTTACTTCATGTAGGTACTGTCAGTTACAGTGGAGTGTGAACTCTACAGCAGGTCCGTGAGAGCAGAAACTCATTGGTTCAGTGTGACCTGTGACCTGAGCGTCTGGGTTTGATGGCGGTGTCCATGCTGAGAGCTGAAGGGTTGTATTGTTGTATTCAATCCTCCACCCTGCGCTACTAAAAGTGAGAGTGTTGTCCCGCTGAGAGACTCGGCCTCTGCCTGTTTGCACAAGGAAATTATTATTGTTCACACAACAATACAAGAAAGCTACATTTTGAAATATTTTTTGATTGTGTGTTATATAACACAACTATCAAAGTAAAACCACCTTGTATGCTACGTGATGATCTGCATCACTGTTTGAGCTTAAAAGGGACAAAATAAAGTTCTTTAGTACAAAAAAATATACAAAGCGTTTCATCACAGGTGACCGGTAGGGATGGACAATA